TTATTTATTTATTTCAATGAATGTAATCGATTAGATATCATAATAGGCTATAATATGCTATTATAAATCTGGTTGGTTTGTATTGGTGACATAATATGTAAATGATATGCGTGCGGCCCGCGAGACTTGCACTTGGACCATAGTGCGGCCCAGTGGAAAAAAAGGTTGAGAACCACTGATCTAATCAGTCCTGTCAATCGTCATTATGATCTCAGCGACAATTCTTCCAGCATCTCTCCACCTCCCCATCTCCTCCTCTATTTCTGTTATTCTTCCTCTATGTAGTACCGCAATAAGAAGGCTGAACTCTGAGCTCAAGCCGAGCTTCGGGTTCGAGCCTCCGTTGATGAGAGCAAGCCAAGTTTGTTTACCATTAACCATCAGGACTGGATGGGCAGGTGAACTCGTGAAACATTGTTAGAATGCTAGTCATTATATAAACAGAGATGCTGACACTGCAAATATGCAGATGATAACTGTAACCCAGGGTTTAGGAACGTACAGTGTGAAACATCATTTTATGAATACCAGGATTAATTATTAACCCCGGGTAAATTATGAGCAGTGTGAAACATGAAGCACGATGACCCAGGATTAACCCACAGGGTTAAAGGCATAGTTCACCCAAAAATCTAAATTTGCTGTTAATTTACTCACCCTCAGGCCATCCAAGATGTAGTAGGTGACTTTTTTTAATCAGTAGAACATTAAAGAAGATTTTAGCTGAAACCGTGCTCCTTGGCGATTATTAAAATGCAAGTCAGCGGCTACCGGCACTTTGAGAGTCAAAAAAAATAAAAAATCAGGCAAGACAAAATTAATACCCGTGGCTCCTGATGATATATTGAAGCGAAACAATTGGTCTGTGCATTAAAGTGATGCAGTGACACTGATGTAATGTATATGCAATTATATTATTAAAGCACCCAATAATGATGTGAAATGTGGATGTTTTACATGTCTAAAGCATATAAAGTGAATATAAATCTTCATCAGCTCACCTTTTTACATAAACCATGAGAAACCATAAAAGTCCCATAGACTCCCCATGTAGAAATGCCCAACTTTACAGCAGAAAAAAATGTTTACAGCCTGGTACAAAAAATGATTTTGGTCTATATAGCTAATTTTGCACAACTGTGAGGGAGGTGAATGTTTTTATAACTCATCCGTTTAAATTATATTAAGCCGTAAAGTTCTGCATAATTAAGGGCGTGACCACTTGAGTGACAGGTGGATTGCCGCTGCTGTCACTGCTGTTGAGCTAGGTGGGCGTGGTTTCAGCAACCAGCTCCCGCCTCTTTGCCCATTTTCGATTATCCGGGAGTGACGCGCGGTGACGC